TAGCAGTGGGTTAGATATAATAACCTTATCCTGTTTTGTTCTATCCTGCTAATTCACTTTCTCTCTGAGAAATTCTCTGACAAAACTGTAAGAAGTGATTAAGTACAGCTGGAAGTGGTAATTCTGAGTTCTCACACAGTTTGCGGTTTTCCTTCCAGGGTTTAAGGGGGACCAAGTGTGTGAAATTCTTACTGGTTTGTCACTGTATGGATTCTAGTAAACCTACCCTTATTGGTTCCATTTGGACCTGCCCTTCTAACACTGCAGTTTATTCCCTCAGTGGCTGCCAGATACACAGAAGGGCATGGCTCTGGTATCTTTCAGTGTGAAAAAGACGCTAACTCTGGTTCAATAAAGACCAAAGCATTGGTACAAATACAATCATATAAGCACACATGCACAATCAAGTCTAATCTTAAAGTAGAAAAGTTTCCTCTTGAGATGAAGACGTATGAAGAATGATAAACGAAGAATCCGGATATTAAGAACTCCGTTTCGAAGAACTTCCTCAGAAACTAAATATGAAAGAAATTACATAATAACAATAATAACACATACAGTGTAAGGTAATTACAGTAGTAACAAGATATGTGTAAATACCTGAAACAATATATCTTCAAATAGGTTATATGCACTCTTGTGAGATGTGTTGCTGTAACTCACAAGAGTGCATATAACCTATTTGAAGATATATTGTTTCAGGTATTTACACATATCTTGTTACTACTGTAATTACCTTACACTGTATGTGTTATTATTGTTATTATGTAATTTCTTTCATGTTTAGTGACTGAGGAAGTTCTTCGAAACGGAGTTCGTAATATCTGGATTCTTCGTTTATCATTCTTTGACATGTGGGAGCTGTTTTTTATCGTACCTCCCCATGCTGACCCATAGTTGTGTAAAAGAGGGAACTTCAGCCAATGCATGTTCTCACCACTGCATGACAAGCCCAACCAGCCAAAATTCATTTCAACAGTGCCAATCATGGTATCTTTCTGGACCACCTTACAGGGTTGGTACTGGGGTGCACCATTCTGCAGTGGTTTTGGTCCTAAAGGCAGCTTTCAGAGTATGATGCCGGGAGACTGCTGTTTGTCTCCTTGTCCTCTGGCCTATGCAGTCTCGTAAGGTTCCATCTTGTCCATCATGTTTTTAATATCTATGTGAAGACACTGGGAGAGGTCATCCAGAGATTTGGACTGAGTTGCCACCAAAATGCAGATGACACAACCATTTCCATCAGATCCCAGGGAGGCTGTGGAAACCGTGAACTAGTGCCTGGAGACAGTTTTGGGATGGATGAGGGCTAACAAGCTGAAACTTAATCTCAACAAAATGGAGGTGCTACTGGTAGGGGAAAGGTCTGACCTGGGAACTGGGATATTTCCTGTTCTGGGTGGGGTTGCATTCCCTCTAAAGAAGCATGTTTGTAGCTTTGGGGTGCTGTTGGACCTAGGCCTGTCAGATAAACAGATGGCAGAGAAGACCAGCAATGCTTTTCACCAGCTTCAGCTGGTGAGCTAGCTGTGGTCCTTCCTCAGCGGGAAATATTTTGTCACTGAGGTGCATTCCATGGTAACATTTAGATTATATTGCTGCAATGCACTATATAGGGGGCTATACTTGAAGACTGTCCAAAATGTTGTGGCCAGAACACTGAATGTAGTGGGTTGCGGTGGAACATATTGCTGGCTCCCAATTTGCTTACTGGTTCCCAATTTGCTTACTGGCCCAATTCAAGGTGCTGGCTTGAAGCCCTCTATGGCTGAAGGCCAACATAACGGACAGACCACCAAACATCCCAATGAACCCACCTGGCCACTCCAGTCATCTTTGGTGGCCCTGCTCCAGGTGCCCCCACCATCTGAGGCTAGGTGTGTAGCAACCCAAGAAAACAGCTTCTTGGTTGTGGCACCAAAACGTTGGAACTCCCTCCCCACAGAGGTTCATCTGTCTCTATCGTTGTCTTCTGCCAGGGAGTTAAGGCTTTTTTATTTTGTTTGGTGTTCCCTCATTAACTCTTATTAGGCCTCCTTCCTGTCTGTGTGTTTTTATGTGCTCATGTTTGTTTTGTTTTAAATATTTTATATTTTTGTATTTTAAATGCTTTCTAAAGCCTGAAATGTTAAATGTTTTACTTTAATGTTCACTGCCTTGGGGATCTTGAATGGGGCGGAAAGACAGCACAGAAATATTTTAAAGAAAAACCAATACATGAATAAACCATTGGAACTAGATAACAGAAGTAACAACTGAGACTCACACACATTTGCAGATATGAAAACAATACCCTGTAATGCTTCTTTTATTAATCATGTGAGTGAATACTAGCCATACAACTTCCCATTTATATGGGCTGATAAAGGCTGACATAGGTAGTCCATGTGTGATCATAGAATCATAGAACGTTAGAGTTGGAAGGGACCTTGCAGGTCATCTAGTCCAACCCCCTGCACTCTGCAGGAGCATAGCTGAAAGATAGCCCTAGATACCTACAACATACCCGAATGATGGTCGTCCAGCCTCCGCTCGAAAACGTCCAGTGAAGGAGCATCCACCACTTCCCGAGACAGACTGTTCCACTGCTCAACCACTCTTACAGTTAGGAAGTTTCTCCTGATATTTAGCCGGTAACGACTCCCTTGTGATTTCCACCCATTAGATCTAGTCTTGCAATCCGGAGCAAGAGAGAATAGATCTGCTCCATCTTCTACAAGACAGCCCTTCAAATACTTGAAGACTGCAATCATGTCCCCTCTAAGCCTTCTCTTTCCCAGGCTAAACATACCCAACTTTTTCAGCCTTTCCTCATAAGACTTGGATTCCAACCCTCTCACCATCCTGGTTGCCCTCTTCTGGACACGCTCGAGCTTGTCAACATCCTTCCTAAAATGTGGTGCCCACAACTGGACACAGTACTCCAGGTGAGGCCTGACCATAGCAGAATAGAGTGGAACTACCACCTCCTGTGATCTGGGCACAATGCATTAGCTTTCTTCACAGATTGCATTAGCTTTCTTCACAGACACATTGCACTGCAGGCTCATGTTTAGCTTGTGATCAACCAGAACACCTAGATCTCTTTCACATGTGCTGCTGTCAAGCCAAGTCCCTCCCATTCTATATCTGTGCCTTTGATTTTTTGTACCTAAGTGTAGGACTTTGCACTTATTTCTATTGAAATTCATTTTATTTGTCTCAGCCTACTGTTCTAGCCTATCTAGATCATTTTGAATCCTGACTCTGTCTTCTTCAGAATTAGCAATCCTACCTAGCTTCGTGTCATCTGCAAGTCTGATAAGCATCCCATCTATGTCTTCCTCCAGGTCATTTATAAAAACATAAAACAACACCGGGCCTAGGACCGAGACCTGTGGCACTCCACTCGAGACTTCCCTCCATGTAGACGCAGAGCCATTTACAAGCACTCGTTGGGTACGATTTTTCAACCAACCATGAATCCATCCAACAATTGCACCATCCAGCCCACATGAGAAACTTTGTCAAATGCTTTACTGAAATATAGATACACTATATTGAGACATACAGATGCTACTAGAATGATTTTGGATCTCAAAACAAGGAGTTGGTTCTCATGCTGCAGAAGATCCTTGCCATTTGTGGGGGGAATCCATTCCCAAGATCACTGCAAAAGGTGAAAACCACAAATACTGCGAAACAGGGCGTCTGCTGCCTCCCACTAGCAAACCAATCACATTTCCCCACAAAACGTAATGATGCAATGATTGTGATAATAGAATTGGGGAGGGGGACTAAAAAATGGCTGGAGATAGTATGGTAATACCAATAAGTGTTAACTACCATTTTAACCCTACTTATCACTTTTCTCTCCCCTCCCATTAATATGCTCTGCATCATTTACTTGCCTTTTCAGCATCCTAATAGGGGAGAGGGGAAAGCATCACGTTATATCACATGATCAGGCCACAAACTGCTAATAAGTGAAATCATTAGTTGTTAATCCATGACGTGCAAGGGTCCACCATACAAAGGTAATAGTTGACTCGGGCCTAACAAGAGGCCTCTCCAGATTTTGCCTCAAGCCTACCCAATTTCAGCTCCCTGGTGATGGGGACACAGGACCCTCTGTACACTGGAGCACGCATCATCCATGCCTAGGTTGCAAAACAGGGGCTGGGGTAGAAGAAACTGCACCACAGCAGACTTCTCAAGTTCTCGCCAAAAGGCTACATGTAATGTACAAGGGGGTGGATATTTCCCTCTTAACTTTGACTCATTACCTGTCTTGTGCAAGCTAACAAGGGTGGTACAAGCTTTAGTTCTCCGGGTAAGCCCCCAAGACTCCCCCTCCCAAAGTATCTACTAATGGTTGAGGAGGTTAATGTCCATCTCTCTTCAACTCTATTGCCCTGCATAGTTCATACTTCATTTACAGTCTGCCTTTCTCCCCTAGCCTCAGGGTGAATTTGGTTGTTTTAATTGGTATTTTCTCTGCAGGCAAAAATCACTTAACTCTAGGCAAGCAGACTGCTGGTGTCACTTCCAGCCATTGCAGCGGTCACCCTGACAATCCACAACATAATTCAACTCTGCTTAAGACACGCAGCTAATAAAAAGCCCTGGCTGGCTCCGGTAGGGGCCTGGATGTCAACAGGGATCGCTACTTGGGTCCCCTTGGCCTCTTCCGTAGCCCTCCCCCCAAGATTTCGGCGATGCAAACATCCATCACTCCTCTCCAAAGTAGAGAAACCCGTGACCCCTCTTCCTTCCATTGGCTGTTCGCAGCCTACCTTCTGGGTTGTTTTCCTTTCAGCAGCAATGCGGGGTGTGTGTGTGTGTGTGTGAACAGAAGAGGCAGCAAGCAGCCAACCCCCGATCTTCGCAAGCCTATCCTTGTTTTGCACAAGAAAGGGACTAAGACAGCTGGTGGTGGTTGGCCTTTGGCAGCCCAAGTCGGGCTTTCTCCTCCTCCTCCTCCAGCCCCTTCCCGCGCCAGCACACGCAGCACGCTTTACCTTGATTCTGACATAGCAGTGAGTCCCCAAGGAGGGGTCATTGAGGCAGCCCGGCGGGTTCTCCCGAATCAGCCACTGGAAGGTCTTGCCCGGCCTCGTCCCGAGGCTCCACAAAAGTTTCAGCAGCTCGACGAAGGCGCAGAGACCGCAGTAACTGTACACCAGAGCCCAGAACAGCAGAGACCGGATTGCCACCATGAGCCTGTCTGGGATGCACGGCGAGGATGCGGCCAAGGGTCTCGCCATCAGGCGGCGGCGGCGGCGGCGGCGGCTCCCGAGCCTGCTTCCCCCGTCAGCGGCGGCGAGATGGGCTCTGCCAGCAGGAGGGCAGCGCGGAGGAAGAAACCAACAACATCATCGCAGCAGCCGCGTGAACGGAGGCGCGCCGACCGACCGACCGCCCCAGCTGGAGAAGCGGGGGGCGGGGAGAGGAGGCAGGAGAGAGCGCGGCAAGCACGTCTGCCGCACACGCGCCCGCGGCACGGAGGCAGCCCAGAAGCCACCGGGGAAGGGTGCGGGCCGGCCGGCCGGCGAGGCTGGCCCAGGGCGGAGAGCCGCCGTCGCATCGAGCACTTGATTACAAGCAAAGCTGCTTCCGATCCAGAACGGACGGCCCGGGGCAATCTCCTCCCTCCTCCCCACCCCGCAAGATTCCAGCCCGCGGGAGGGAAAATTCTGGCAGAAGGGAAAACCCCTCTTCCCGCCTTCGTATCGTTAAAGGTAAAGGTAAAGGTTCCCTTGCTCGAAAGCCAGTCGAATCCGACTCTAGGGTTGCGGCGCTCATCTCCCTTTCAAAGCCGAAGAGCCAGCGCTGTCCGAAGACGTTTCCGTGGTCATGTGGCCGGCATGACTAAACACCAAGGCGCCCAGAACGCTGTTACTTTCCCACCGAAGTGGTACCTATTTATCTACTTGCAATTTCTTGCTTTCTAACTGCTAGGTTGGCAGGAGCTGGGGCCTGAGACGGGAGCTCACTCCGTCATGCGTCCCCCGGGTCTCGAACTGCTGAACTACCGACCTTCCACAGCCTGCAGTTCAGCATCTAACCACCTGAGCCACCGCAGCTCCTGTATCGTTAAAACAGGACCCCAAAATGTCATTTATTAGAGCCCTTTCACGCGTTATGCAGAAGGAACCCCGGTTTGCCACTGGTTCACACGTCCGTGGTTGGCAGGAAGTCTGCAGCATCCGAGGAGGACTTCCGTGCATGAAAAGGCCACCGCGCGTTTCAGCCATCAATAGGCTTTTTAGTTATGCCACTTTAGATGTTTCGGTTGCATCAAGTACAGAAACACAATGGAGGAGTGCAACATTCATATCTGAACCTGAGCTGCAGCCAGTCACATCTCCCCGGTGCAGGTGTATGATACACATGCATGGTGCACTCTCACATTACATTTTTAGATGTATACATTACAAATGGGTGAAATGGCCCATGACAACTTTTACACAACAAAGTGCCAAATCTATGACTCCTGGGTTAGCCAGAGAGTAAGAGTCGGACTCGACTGTGCGACTGAACAACAACAACAACAAAGCCATCCTAAAAGAAATCAACCCTGACTGTTCCCTGGAAGGCCAGATAGTGAAGCTGAAGCTCAAATACTTTGGCCACCAAATGAGAAGGGAGCACTCACTGGAGAAGACCCTGGTGCTGGGAAAGACTGAAGGTAAAAGAAGGGGACGGCAAAGGATGAGATGGTTAGACAATGTTATCATCGATGCAACAAACATGAGATTAAGCAAACTCCAGAGGACGACGGAAGACAGGAGGGCCTGGCATGATATGGTCCATGGGGTTGTGAAGAGTCGGACTCGACTGTGCAACTGAACAACAACTACTACTACAATTGTCCCTGGCTGAAGCTGCAATCCTAATAACACTTACCTAGGAAGTGTTCATACCTAAATGCTGTTGAATAAAATGGGACTTTCTTGTGAGTAAACAGTACTTCCCTGCAAGAGACCTGCTGCTCTGCTGTTTATTTATTTGGTACACTGTTTTCACACCCTTCCTCCAAGCTCAGAACAGCATGTATCGTTCTCCTCTCCTACTTTTTCCTCCCAACAACCCTGGCAGACAGTTCATCCAGCAAGCGGACTGGGGATTTGAACCTGTGTTGCCCAGATCCTAGACTGATACTTTAATCACTGTACCACATTGCATCTTTATGTACCAACTTACTCAATTTCGCCAGTCCTCCAATCCCATCCCTTGTATCCTGCATGAATCACTGCAGTATTACTATCCATCAATTTGCGAAACAGCCCCTACAAATGTATACATTGAGATGCTAAAGAAACAGTCCATTCTATATGTCTTTAATATTCCTAATTAAATTTGTGCATCTAATCAAGTCTAAATGATCTAGCAAATGCAACAGAAGCATTATATTTTCCGTGTTTATTTCATTTTTAAGTTTCATCCTCCAGATCTAAGGTTAAAACAACATATAGCTAATCATTGTTCCATAAAGAGTCCTCAGCATAAACTGTTAAGTCTTAAAGTCTTGTTCTTTTGGAACCTTGTAATAAGAGCTTTCACACATGGAAATTGTTCTCATAAATAGCTTTTAAAGGGTGCTCATTCGTCCAATATATTTTAATAATCACAGTACTGATTAAGCATCTGTTGATTGTGCAAAGCAAGGCACAATCCTTGTGCCAAGTCCAACATCAAACCTCACAAAGGCTGCTGAAATGGTAATTTTTGTTGTTGTTCAATCGCACAGTCGAGTCCGACTCTTCGCGACCCCATGGACCAGATCACGCCAGGCCTTCCGGTCTTCCGCTGTCCTCTGCAGTTTGCTCAGTTTCATGTTCGTTGCATCTATGACACTGTCTAACCATCTCATCCTTTGCCGTCCCCGTCTCATTTGACCTTCAATCTTTCCCAGCATCAGGGTCTTCTCCAGTGAGTGCTCCCTTCTCATTTGGTGGCCAAAGTATTTGAGCAGTTTCATTATCTGGCCTTCCAGGGAACAGTCAGGGTTGATTTCTTTTAGGATTGACTGATTTGATCTTCTTGCAGTCCAAGGGACTCTCAAGAGTCTTCTCCAGCACCATAGTTCAAAAGAATCTATTCTTCGGCGCTCGGCCTTCCTTATAGTCCAACTCTCGCAGCCATACATGACTACTCGGAATACCATTGCTTTGACCATGCGGACTTTTGTTGGCAGGGCGATGTCTCTACTTTTTACCATGCTGTTTAGGTTTGCCATCGCTTTCCTCCCAAGGAGCAAGCGTCTTTTAATTTCATGGCTGCTGTCACAGTCTGCGGTGATCTGGGATCCCAGGAACGTGAAGTCTGTCACTACTTCCACGACTTCCCCTTCTATTTGCCAAGGAGTGATGGGGCCGGATGCCATGATCTTAGTTTTTTTGATGTTGAGTTTCAAGCCAATGATTGCGCTCTCCTCTTTTACCCTGAGTAAAAGGCTCTTAAGGTCCTCTTCACTTTCTGCCATTAGAGTGGTATCGTCTGCATATCTGAGGTTGTTGATCTTTTCCCCAGCAATCTTAATTCCCGCTTGTGATCCATCCAGGCCGGCATTTCACATGATGTACTCTGCATATATATTAAATAAGCAAGATGACAATATACATCCTTGTCGTACTCCTTTTCCTATGCTAAACCAATCAGTTGTTCCATATCCGGTTCTAACTGTCGCTTCTTGACCCTTATACAGGTTTCTCAAGAGACATGTGAGGTGGTCTGGTACTCCCATCTCTTTAAGGACCTGCCATAGTTTGTTGTGATCCACATACACACACAGTCAAAGGCTTTTAGAAACCTAAATTTAATAGACTCGGGAATTTCACAAACTTATTTGAGCATCCTGTTGATTTAAAATTAAATTCTCAAAATGGTGCAGGCTTGCTTTATACACATCCGGATCCCCAAAGCAAATTTAAACTAATAGATATATAGCAGGGGAGGGGAGGAGAGAGGGAATAAGGCTTGGTCCTTTATCTTCATAGCAGTCTATCTCACAAAAGGGAACAGGTCCAAAGTCCTATGGAAGCTTGAAGTCCAAATGCTAACCACAGTTAGTTCACGGTAGAACACTGCAGAGTAGAACTCCTGTCAAACTGACATCTCACCTGGAGATTAGGGATGGGTAGGACTGCTTTCTGTTATGGGCACATTAAGACACAGGGATTCTCTTATCTGGACAATAATTTGATCCAGAAGTTACCACAGGTAGAACTCAACCTTTTTCAGTATTCTGTTTGAGCCCTTGATAATTTAAAACATTCTAATAAAAAGTGCATCTGACCAGGTACAAAGTGCCTTTAACTTACCCCTAAGCAAACCTACACATCAGGAAGTACAGATAGGGCTTAGCCACTGTTGCTCATTTGTCTTAAAACAATTTGCCATGGTGTCAGCTAGAAGAGCCTCTATGATTAGAGTGCCAGATTAGGACTGGGAAGTCCTGGGTTCAACTCCCCACTTGGCCACAAAGCTCACTGGGTGACCTTGGTCTAGTTGCAGTGACTCTCTCACAGTCTGACCTACCTTAAAGGTTGCTGAGTGTGTAAAATGGAGGGAAGAAACATGGACAACTCCCTGAGTTGCCTGAAGGAAGGATGGGATAAGAATGTAATAGAAGAAAATATCCAATTGATTCCAGATTTCTGCAAGTCAAATCTTATTGTATTATCTATTTGGTGTTCCATCCTGTTGACTGTATTGACCTCTTCTGTGTAATCTGCCTTGAGTCCCAACTAGAAAGAAAAATGTGGACTATAGATAATGTCAATAAATAAAGAAACAAACACAATGATGATAGCATGGCCAACATGAAGAGCAGCACAACTTCAGAAATCAGGAAAAGGCCAATGGAGTAAAGGACAGGTGGGGAAGAAGCTCTATTTAGTAGCCCACTTACACATTCCACTTAGTTCAATGTGTCATGAGTTGATGCCTGGTGCAGAAGGAAACCAATAATCTTAAAACCCACAAGCTCTGTAAGCCTGACTGTAAAGTTAGTATTAAAATTAGAAGTGGACATCTTTGAAATAAAGAAACTGAGTTTGGTCTGAACAAGAACGTCAAGTTGTTAAGCTGCAGCACAAATGGCATAGGAAGTAGGACTTCATGACATGCCTGGCTAGGAGCTAGTGAGCGTTAGAGGCCCAGTGCTTTTTTCCTTAGTAAACAAAATTAAGAATAAAAAGGTGTCAGTTGCACTGATCTCTACCAATTCCACCCTCTCTCTGCAGATCCTCACCAGGCTATTCCAGAGGGTCCATTCTCTCTGGTTGAGTGGTGTGGGCTGGCAGACCAGGACTTGGGAGAGTCCCCTCCCCTAAAATGCTAGTACTAAGTACCAATGAGTACCATCACACACACACACACACACACAAGTCTTGCTTATAACTACCTAATTGTTGCCATGCAGCCACTTCAGATGGCATTATTAAAGACCGCACC